TTGGAAAAAGGACTATGATTTTCGCTAAGTTTCTTTCTTTCAATGTATTTGGTATGCGGTCTCACTATGCAGCTCCGACTCATAGTGATCCTCCTGTTTTCAGCCTCCTCAGTGCTGGGATTACAGGTGTGGCCACCAAGCCCGGATGCGGTCACCAGCTCAGAGTACCTAGGGGCGGGACCAGGGCAGCATGTAGTGCCGGGATCGAACCCTGCTCCCCATGCTTGCCTAAGAAGGCACTTAGACCTCTGAACTATCTTGCTGGCCCTACCAAAGTTTCAATTGTGCCTCTGTTTACAATCCCCATTGCATAGTATCAAATGACAAAGGAAATTATGTCACGTGAGAACAGCTCATAAAAGAACTTTCTCTTAAAAGGTAATGTGTATTCAAAACTGTCTCACTAGTCATTACACACATCCTTAATGTCTGAGTTGATAAAGGACCTAAGGGCATACATTTACAATATCACAGGCAAAGTTCACAGTAGTTATGCCCTGACATTTCTGAATTTCTTTTCATCCCTAAATGAACTGTTGTATTTGGCATGTATGTAATCAGCCAACTCCAGACCAGCTTTGCAACCTGCCTTTCTACTACATTTTACATAAGTACCAAGAATGAACAGGGAGCTCTGCTACTGTTTACTCACTTTATTCTGAACTGCACAGATCAGATTTCCACTAATCAGATTTACCTAGAAATTATAATCCTGAAGAATGTGTAAAGATGAATGCATTTTTAGAATGAGTCAATGATGCCTTTTTGAAATGTTAGAAGTGAGCAAGAGGTAGGAGTACTCTGTCTTAATGGCATGTGAAAAACCATTTGAAATGACCTGAAACGATCCACAATTAGCAAAGTGGTGAGAGAATGGTTTGATACTGGTTGGAAATTAAGAAGTGAACAGTATTTGAGACAAGAATGGGAGTTTCATGTTTTCTGTGTTATTCCATCTCAGGAAGAAAAAACTTTCTATTTGTTGTAGTGAAATTTGACAACAGCTGATTAACATAAGGAGGAATTTATCAATTTATACAAAACTCCCTTAATGGATAAACAGTTCGGAATAAGTTGCTAGTCTCATGCATGATTTCCATGGAACAGCCAACATAATGTCACTTTCCAAACACGACATGCTTTTTGTTTTATCTCTAAAGAAATGTTTTATGTGGACCAGTGGAAGATTTTATGTGAGGAATAATCTGATTGTTTCTTAATTTAGACCATCATTTACATTAGCCAACCTCTTCAAATCTCAGTTTCAGACTTTTATTTTATGGGTCTGTGGAGAATGAAGAGGAAACTCCACACTCTGACCCAGCTTAGCTCCCTTGAGCTGACTAGGAGTGAAAGGTCCTTGCCATTTTAGTTTCAAAGTTAACAAGTTGGAATTAAAAATGCAAAGTAATTTATTTATTTAGTGCAGTGATGGGGCCTCGTAGATACTAGGCAAGCCCTCTGCCATTGAGCTATACCCCCAACCCCCAAATATTTATGTCTTCATAATTCTCTTACAAAACTTTGGATTCATTTTCTCATGTTACGCCTGATGTAGCACCTTCTCTCTAAAGCATTACAATCAGTGTGTAGTCTCCGTGCTTCCGCTGCCAGGACTTGAATCCCAGGTCACCCCTCACTAGCTGTGGGACCTAGGAAAAGTTACTTTGTTTCATTAGTATGACAGAAATCATAACATTATCTATTTTATGGGTTGTTGTGAAGATAATAAGTTACCACGAAGTTAGGACTCAAGACTCTTGCATGTCTTTTTTGGCATTGATAAAAATGATATATGAGGTTATATGACCCCGTGTCAGGCCTTTTTTTTTCTTTCCATTTTGAGGATTTTACTTCCCAAACTTTGCAGGCTCTAGTGGGAGCTACGACTCCACTCTGCCCAAACCCTAGGGCAATAGCTGGGATTAGTAGTTCTACGTTCCCTAAATTGCCCAGTCTCTTCTAATGCTAGGTGCTGTGGGACAGGCTGGTGTCCCATGGGGCACAATGTGTGCAGTGCCCTTGCTGGGCTGTGGTTTGATCCACTTTTGCTAGCCACAGAAAGCAGCACTTGTGATTCTGAGGCAAGAATGGCAGGCATAGGGTACTACTGTTTTCTGCATTTTGAAGAAAATTAGCTGGAATCTCTCAAGTAGCTTTACATGGATAACTTATTTGAATTGGCATGGTTTAAATTGAGTTAACTAAAATATGTAATTAATTTCATCTTTTTTAACCTTTGCTATATGGCTTCTAGAAAAATTCAAAAGTTCACATGTGGCTCACACCGTATTTCTGTTGGACTGTGTGCTCTGTCTCTGGAGAAACAGGAGAATTTCTCAAGTCAGCCGTAAACCTCTGTCTGCCTTCAGTGCCCGGCGTAGGAGGCATGCAAAGGATTCTTACCTTGGGTGGGAGATTGGTGCAGACCACTTCTGACCATAATTTTAGTGTGGGTCAAGTAGAACAAAAAGACTTGAGGAAGCTAAACACACCCTTGGATCAAAGGCCAGGCACTCTAACATAGAAGATTGTTTGAATTAAACAGCAGTCATGAATTTAGAATGGTCGAATCAGCCCTCAAGAAATAAATCTATTGCAGTGTAAAGGGTTATGCAAGGGCCGGATACTAATAATTATTACCAATGATCTATTGACAAAATAAAGCTAGTCAATGGCCAGGGCTGATGTCCTTATTAAGCAATGGGTTCAACTTTCTCCTTTGTGCCTGCGGGATTATCTGTAGCTCGTCTGGCTGTGATGTCATGCTAGTTGCAAGGCAGGTCAGCCGGGCTGGCTTCCTGATGCTCCCTGGTAATCTTTGCAATGAATACATTCAGAAGCGAACACCAGAAGTATTTTGCAGGTAGTGTCCGTTCTAAAGGGTGATTTCACAGAGCTAAGCCTCATAAGCTTCATCTAGCCCCCAAAGCCCTAAACAGGCAATCTATGTTAAAAATAAAAACAGTTTCAGAGCAAACCTCTTCCTCCTCTTCTCCCCTATCTACCCAGACTTCTGGATCTCAGCCCTTTCTTTTGGGCACCTTGGGAGCTACTCCAGGCGAACAGTAATGAGGGATAATATCTCAAATATTTATATTTAAAAACCAACATATGGCAATGCTGGAAACCTCATGATAAAGGCAATATTTACATGAAGCCATGGGAACCTGTTGAAAGTTACTGCCTTTACTTATAAGGCTTTGGTATCTCAGTGGGCCAGTCATGGGGAGACCTTTTTCTTCTTGCTTGCCTCCTCTAAGTAGCATAAGAAAGGGAGTAACAATCCTTCGCGCAAATGTGTGGTCACCCTTGAGCCCACTCCCAGGCCATTTCCACAGCTGGATGTGGAGAGCATGTTTTCATACACACTCATTAATGGCAGATAAAGCTCCAAGGGCTCACAGCCTAGTTCCCACCAGCCTGACAGGCACTCCCCTATTTGGATACATTTATGTCCCTTGAGTTGCATTCTGTTGTTTTAGGAGCATGAAGTGCTTTCTTTCGTAATGTTTTTCCATCCTAGTCCCAACTCCAAAGCTCTTAGCCCGTGACATAATTAAAAGTTCCCACTGTAAAACAAAAAGCACAGGAACTCTGTTGGTATCTACTTTTCGATGTTTCTCTATCTACCACAAACTCCACTGCTCAGGGTGTCCTGGTTCAGAGGATGTCTTTGACAAACTTGCCCTCACCCCACGGTAAGTGTAAGCTGCAGGTTCAGGCCAGCTTCTGCACAGACAGAAGATGGGACTCAAATGGGAGGTCAGGAAGGGCTTGGGCAAAGAGAATGCAGCTTCAGCAGGGAACACATCTGAACTTTCAGGACCATGTGCTTTGCCACTTGAGGATGAGGGTAACCAGAAGGGGGCCAGGACAGAGTTATTTCCCCAGCTTCCGCAAGTAGGACCCGCTAAGGCCAGGCATCTTGTCTTTCTTTATAAACTCCTGTTTTCTAGCTGCTGGAGGCCAGAACAGCCTCAGGGTGTGCTGAGCCTTTAGGAAGCTGGAATCCAGCATGGGAGAACTGTTGAGCAGGGGCTGGGGAGATGGCTCAGTAGAATAAGCGCTTGCCTGGCAAGAGCAAGGGCCTGAGTTCAAGCCCTGGTTCTGAAAAAAAAAAAAAAAAAAAAAAAAGAACTGTCGAGCAGGTTGCTAAGGGGCAGCACCCGGAGCCCTTCAGGCCTTCCTTCCCTGAGAGGAGCCAGCTGTTCTGTGTGGAGCTTTGAGCTCAAGTACACAACCATAGAAGGAAGAGCACCTGTGTATCTGTGTATATATATATTCCTGACGGTGACACCAGAGGATGTTTCTTAAGAGGTTACAAAAGCCTCCTTGGGAGGCCTTGCAGAAGCCTAATGGGGTTCCCCCACAGGGCAGTCTTTTCCTCCTGCTCACGCATTTCCATGGCTACAAATATTTACACTCAAATATGTAAATCGGGAGACTGGAGACTGGGTGCTTAAACTTTAGAGACAAATAATGATCGCTCGGAACTTCCGCTACAAGAAGCCTCTGCTATTTTCAAGGGCAGCTGGAAGGCTACAGTTGGGAACAATGTTTTGTTCCACTGAAGCAGAAGGCAGAGCATGGAGAATTGGCCCCCGTGGGTGGGAGGTACAGCAACAAACTGCAGCTCAGGGTGGCCACCTTGTATCAAGGACCAACATCCTAAGGTGGCCAAGAGTGGAAGGGGTCAGTGTCCAGTGGTGGCTGGGCCGGCCTTGGTAGGTGTCAAGGCTCCCTTTAGGGGTACAGTAGTACCATCCGGGTACCAACACTAAGTTAGCGACGCCCACGGGCTAGGATTGCGGGAGGAAGGAAGTGGGGTAAAGGCAAGAAGCGAGAAGAGGGCAAGGCGATAAACAACATTAAACTTAGAACGTACTTTTTCAGTTGCCAGGAGTTTGTAGGGCGGCAGGAACCGCTGGGGGAGAGAAAAGCAGAGAAGGTGGCACTGAGCTGGGCTGGAGACGCCCGGGAAGGACCGACTGACTCACCGCGAAGGGCAGGGAGCAGACGGCGAAGGTGATGGTCATGATAGCCAGGAGGATGAGGTGGTCTACCTCCTCCGCCACCGACAGCCGCTCGGCTCTCCTGCGGGGCCCTGGGCCGACGCTGGAGGACGAGGGTCCGCAGCGGCTCCGTCGGCCCCGGCGGTGCATTCGGACGAGGTTGAGGATGACACTGAAGTTGCAGGCGAGCACGGCCACGATGAGCAGCAGCAGGACGCCGGCGTAGAGCTGCAGGTACGTGGAGCGGCGGTGGCGCACGAAGCACCAGGTCCCGGGGCAGTACTGCTCGTACTGGAGGTGGTCGAGCAGCGGCAGCGCGCAGAGCAGCAGCGACGCGGCGTAGATGGCAGGGAGCACGGCCAGGCCCCCGCGGCGCGACAGGCGGCGCTGGTAGAAGTAGGGGTGCCCGAGGGCGAGGTAGCGCTCCAGCGCCATGGCGAGGAGCATGAGCATCGTGGCCAGGCTGAAGAAGGTCATAGCGAAGGCGAAGTAGGTGCACGCGCGGCCGTCGGGCTCCAGCGCCAGCAGCGTCTGGTTCCGCGCGTACGAGGCCAGCACCACCGGGCTGATGAGGCAGGTCCCAAGCAGGTCGGTGAACACCAGCTCGGTCACCAGCACGTGGAACAGGGACAGAGCACCGCGACCCGCGTCCCCGCGCCAGCGGCGGGCCAGCAGCGCGAGCGCCAGCAGGTTCCCCAGCACCCCCGCCGAGAACATCACCGCGCTGATGGCCGGGCTCTCGCCCGTGGGGAGCCACTGGCTCTGCTCGCAGTCCTCGGCTCCGGAGTCATTGGAGGCGTTGCCCATGGCGCGCCGCGTGGAGGACGCGGGGAGGACGAAGATGTGAGGGTCCGAGCGTCCCAAGGCCCGCAGGGAGAACGGGGGCACTGCGATCCCCAGCGCGCGTCCTTGCGCTCCGGGCAGCCGCGCTCCAGAGTCCCCGCCGCGCGCCCAGAGGCCGTGCGGGCCGCATCCGGCCGCCCTCGAGGCTCCTGCGTCCGCCGGGCCGCGTTGGCCCCGACCTCCAGCCCCAGACGTGGCCGCCCCGCCCTCGCCCCGCGCCGCCCTGGGGCGGACCCGGGAGGGGCGTCGACACCCGCGGTGCCCGCGCTGTGACCCGGCCTGGGTTGTGCGGGTCCCAGCGCGCTGGCCGGATCGATCGCGGATGCCAGAGTGCCGAGCACGGAACACCCGCCCGGAGGAGTTGAGAGCCGGGCCGGCGGGAGCCGTCTGGGAGGGGCACGGGCACTTTCGGGGTGTGGATCAGGATGACAGGAAAGTGAAGCCACTCAGCACACCACGGAGAGGTTGGAGGGCTGGATCCCATGAGCTGTGGAGACCCACGTGCCCTCTGTGGTGTGTGTGTGTGTGTGTGTGTGTGTGTGTGTGTGTGTGTGTTAAACTCCCAAGATTAAGGGCGAGACCACAGATGGGAGGAAGTGAAAATCCCATCCTATGAACCAAGTGCGCAGGCCCCGGCCACGCTGATTTGTCACCCGCTTTGCCTTTTCCTGTGTCGACACCATAAAGAATAACCACTTGTGTAAGCAACCTTAAAAAAAAGGAAAACAGTGTTTGTGTAATTGTAGAGTTGTGTTCGGAGTCACAGCTTGAGCACTGCTCCGCAAGATCAGTCCTGTGAAGGCAGTGGAGCTTCTCAGGCCTAAATCTTTTTGTATTCAGTTAACCATGCAAGGCCCATTGGAAAGTCACCCTGGGCAGTGAATGACAATGGACCAGTTTCAGAATGGAGCTGCAAAAAAGAAAAGAAAAAAGAAAGAAAGAGAAAAAGTTGCCAGCAGAGTGTGTCATAACTATGGAGTTGTGAAAATAGGCTAAGTAAAGCAAAACTCAAAAACCAATTTGAGCCAGCTGTGGTGGCACTCACCTGCAATCCCAGCACTTGGGAGGCTGAGGCAGAAGAATCAATGTGAATTTGAGACCAGCCTGAGCTACATAAAGTGAGTTCAAGGCCAGCCTGAACTGCCCAGTGAAACCTTATCTCAAAAAAGAAAAAAAATTAAAGGAAAGAAAAATCCAGTTTGACAATGACTAGCCCATCAGAAAGGTCACCGTCCCTCGGGCTCACACTCATTTTTCAATCTCCACTCCATCCACTGGAGAGTTAGGATTCCCACAAGGAATTGACAAGAGAAGTAGTTGTGGTGTTGAGGGGAAAGAAAGGCTTTTGTCTGCAAGCACACCGTGGCACTGTCTGCTTGGTCACAGCTAGGGACAGTGCATTTCCTCTGTGTGACTATGTCAGCCTGTAAGGAAGAGCCTACAGGGTGTCCAGGGTCTCACTACTAGACTGGACTCCAAGAGCTGGGATTAAAGGCGCACACCCCCACCCCACCTCTCAATGGCCATCTCAGCTCTCTCCCGGGGGCGGGGCAGGCACTGCAGGCCCGGGGATGGAACCCCTGGCTCCTGAGCCTGCTTGCAGGCACTTTAATCTACTGAGCTATTTGACCCGCCCTCTTCAGACCCTCAGCTTTGCAGGGAATGGGGTCCGGACCTCTGCAGTGTCTTTTAGGCTGTAAATGCCAGGTTGGAACCATCACCAGTCTTTGCCAACGCTGATGACTCCCTGGCCCCAACCTCACCCTGCCCAACCCCAAACAACAGGGAAGCTTGATTGGGATGGAGATTTGCTTCTCAATAGAGAAACTTGGGAGTCTCCTTTACAGCACAGTCCCTGCATTGTGGTTTTACTGCTAAATATTCTTTTGAGTCATGATATTTCACTGTGTTTATTTTCCAAGTGTTTTTATGTTTTTTCTATTTTCATAAATCCCCTTTTCAACAAAGGGGGGTTGACTCTTCTCTATATATTTGTTTCTAGCTTTCGTTTGGATGGGTACTTGTCCCTGACTTTAATGGGTAATTCCAGATTCACACCCTTACTCTTTTTCCCTTTCCTTCCTAAATCCCACCTCTGACTTAATCCAGCACTGTGGGAAGACTTGCACAGAGGTGTGTGGACAACCAGTCCCTGGTGACCCAGAGATACGTTGGACCCCAAGCATGCTGTTGACCCTGAGCTGGAGGAGCTGGGGACGATGCCTGCATAAAGCCCTAGCAGTGAGCTTAGGCCAGCTTCGGAGCAGGGGTTTCCATGTCCTCAGGTACATGCAAGGTGTGATACAGGGAGATGGCATGGAGTCGGGGAAGTGCCTTACCTGTGGGGAGGTATTTGACAAGAGGAAGGGCTGCCAAACATTGCAATGCCTTTTTAAAATTTGTCCCCAGCATCAAGACAGAGAAATTATGTCTATGCTTACACCTATATCTCTATCTACACTTACGTCTCTATCATCTATACCTATGTATCTCTGGTTTAGCAGTTGAGCCATGCTCTGTGTGGACTGCAAGGGTTAGTGTGTAACCCCTGGTTCCTCAGCTAAGCCATTAGATGTGTTCCTGTAAAGCCAAATCTTGTCTTATCTTTTCATTTAAAAGCTTCTTCTTCCCATTGTTAATTTTAGTATCAGCTGCTCAATACAATTTCAGTTCACAAAGAGCCAGAAAATAGATGAGCACCCTCAATTCTAGAACTGAATCATAACACTTTGCTAATTCTTAAATTCCTGGTTGTGAGGTCATTGTGTTTTGGGGACACCATTGTGAGGACTGATTTTATTGTCTACTTGTCTAGTTCCTGGAATGTCCAGGTACTGGTTTTAGCAGTGTCTCTGAATATGTGTCTGCTGGGTACTCTAGGTGGACCAAGGAAAGCAGATGGCCTTGCCCAAAGTGGATGGGCTCCATACATACTTCAGGGTCTGACTAGAACTGAGAAGGGAGAGGAAGAGAATTCTCAGCTTGCCCTAGGACATTGGTCTTTTTCAATCCTTGGCATTTCTATAGTTCTCTATTTATTTATTTATTTATTTATTTATTTATTTATTTTTGGCAGAACCGGGGATTGAACTCAGGTCCTTGCACTTGCCAGGGAAGCACTTATTCTACTGAGCCATTTCCCTGGTCCCTTAAACCAGGCCTTTTTTCAATGGAGTCAGCTTGCTTTTTTTTTTTTTTCCGAAACCGGGGATTGAACTCAAGCCCCTGTGCTTGCCAGGCAAGCGCTTATTCTACTGAGCCATCTCCCTGGCCCCATAGTTCTCAGACTGGAATCTACACCATTGAGTTATCAGCTCCAAGACCCCTTGAAACTGCATCACTGACTTTACCTAGTGGACGTGTATATAGTCATGTGCCGTTTACTGCCAGGGATATGTCTGAGAGTTCTGAGAAATGCTGCACCCTTCACAGATCTGCAGAGGCACTTGGCTTAGTACATGCAGGAGCCCAAGGAGAGTACGCGGCAGGAGCTGGAGGAACTGCAAGCCTGGTTGCTGCCTCATGTAGTAAGGAGAGCTGCTGGTAGGCAACAGGGCGTGAGAGCCACAGATTTGCATAAATATAACAGGTGCTGGCTCACCGGCACCTGTCAGAGCTCATGCTCTGTGGTCCTTGGGACCAACACTAACCTGGAACGGTGCAAGAACTGACAGGAAGGTCTGTGGCAGGGCAAAACTGTATGCAGTGTGGAGCTATATAAACTAAGAACAACTATACTATCACTAGACAGTGCAGTTTTTTGAGGCTGTCTAGTATGGAGTTCATCGTTAACTAGAACATTGTTATAGGACTTGTAGCTGTATATATATGACACATCTGAGCACATGCCATATATATATATATATATATATATACTGTATATGCATATATGTGTGTACTGTGTATATATATACATATTCAGTTGATTCTGTTGCTCTGGAGAACTGTAATATATTATGCAAAATCTAAAATTCACAGTTTTCATTTATATATCGGCAAACTGAAAGGACTTGGGAAGACAAGTTACTTACCATAGGTTATTCTTTAAAAGAAAGCAAACTCACCCTGACTAATTATATATACTGATACCTGGGAACTAAGCTACTGCACTGCAGATGGTAATTTGTAACAGTTGTTTCATGATGGGAGTGCCTGTCATTGTGGTATTTTGAAT